TGTTAGTCTGATAAGCAGGTATATGGAGAATCCAACGGATATGCACCTACAAGTTGCCAAGAGAATCCTTCGTTACTTGCAAGGAACTAAGGATTTTGGGATGTTCTACAAGAAGGGTGTCAAGTCTGGCTTTGTTGGATTTACTGACAGCGATTTTGCAGGGGATATTGATGACAGAAGGAGCACCTCAGGCTATGTTTTTATGCTCGGCAGTGGGGCTGTTTCATGGTCTTCTAAGAAACAGCCCATTGTCACTTTGTCAAGCACTGAAGCTGAATTTGTAGCTGCTACAAGTTGTGCGTGTCAAGCAGTTTGGCTAAGGAGAATTCTTAAAGGGCTGCAGTTTGAACAAGAGGGAGCTTCTATTATATTTTGTGATAACAACTCTGCTATCAAGTTGTCAAAAAATCCAGTACTACATGGAAGAAGTAAACATATAGATGTCAGATTTCATTTTCTCAGGGACTACACAAGAGATGGAGTAATCCAGCTTCTACACTGCAGGAGTGAAGACCAAGTTGCTGATGTAATGACAAAACCTTTGAAGATTTCAGTTTTTCAGAGGTTAAGGAAACAGTTAGGTGTCTGTGAGCTCATTTAAACTGGAACATACTTGATGTTTCAGTTTAAGGGAAGGAATGTTGAATAAGTCAGTTGACAAAGTCATTATTTATTAATAGGTTTATCATTTCAGTTATTGTCCTATTCTTATGTCATTAGTTACACTTTTGTGGCTTTCCTTATTTTTAGGAAATGCAGTAGTGTCTATCTTGTTGCTTTGTATAGCCTATAAATTGGCGTAGCTATAGACTAATAAAATTATCAAGTCCTCTTCCCATTCATGTTCTGTTTTTGAGCTTGTTCTGATCCATATTAAATATTTATAGTTTTAACATTTCTTCTAAACAAGGTTGCCTACAACCTGTTTGATAAAATTCAACAAAGATAATTTGTCTTACACATAGATCTAACATACTTATTCATTACAGACAAAAATTGAGCTTCATATATGGATAAACTAAACAAGGATTATTTTTTTTTACCGAGAAGAATGAAAATGGAGCGTAGAAAAAATCATAAGAGCGTTAAAAATTACCTGCGGTTCTGCGAAGACGAAGGTCCGGAACAGGAAGAAGGTCATAGACGATGGGGAGAAGCCTAGCGTAGTAATTGTTGAAAGAGTTTGACAGAGTTGGGCTTTACCCAAATTATGGGCTTCAGCCATGTTCAACCAGCATATTACACAATGTCCGGCCCACCACCATCAATTATTTGAATAACTTTGAAATACTTTAAGCAGTGTCCGGAACTAGCTTTAACATTTAACTTCTTAAAACACACCGTATTATCCAATGATATCTTTTGACGTTGACATTTTAAACAAAACATAAGCAATGCTAAATTCAAAAAAAGTAACACGATTATACTTTTTTATTGAATGATTAATAAAAACAAGTAGATAAATTGATTAAAATTTGATCATATAAATAATAACTCAAAGAAAAGTTTTAATGGTGGAGAGATAATTTTTTCCCAATGACTAATAAAAACTATGACCTTTCCATCCAAAAAAGGACACCACTGATACAATACCGGCTCAAAAATGTGAAAAAAATGATATTGGCCATATGCAAAAATCGTGTGTCGAGTCCTGCTTTGTTTTTTAAAGAGTACTTGTGCCTTAAAACTAGTGCTAAATTTGATTTTTAATAATCATTTTTAACAATTTTAATATTAGAATATAAATTTAAATTATGTTTAAAAATATCAAGAAATTAAAATAATGAACATATAATAACATCGAGTTCTAAAAGTTTGGGGGCATGTGCGGCTGCACCCCTTGCAGACCCCTTTTGATGGTGTAAATTACCGTGCAAATTAAATATAAAGTATAAGTGATCGGAAGGGTTGTAGGTGGAAACACTTGTAACCCGGTTGGTTATTAATGATAATAAGACTATTACAAAGTACAGGCCGTGCAGATTAATTAAAGTGTGCCTCACAAATGAGGCTTTTAGGGGTATTTATAATAATCCCAAGCACGTCAAGCATGTCTCTGATTATCCCGCCGGTCAGTTTACGGACCGGTCCCTTAGTATGACTTTCGCAGGAAGAAGCTGCGTCTCCGACTGTTGTTCAACTCATCCCGACCGGTCAGACAGCCCGGGATGATTAGGTCAGGCGGCGTCACATCTGGTACCTCCCGGTCGGTCGGGCCCACCGGGCGGTAACCATGGGTTATTACCCATCACCTCTAAGCCATCGATGACTGTTACAATTACGGTCTCTCGATAACTTCTGTTTCTTTGTATGTTTTAGTTGATAATTTAATAAATTAGAATATTCTTGTCTTCTATTCTTTTATAATATTTTTTTTGTATTTTTGAAGGGTGGAATTTATATTTTTTATTTCCATACCAATTTACAATAAAAAAGGTATTAAGAGAATAAAAGTGATGTGATTTTATATTGTTTGCAATGTGATATCCATCATGAACGAAGGGACTAAAAATAATAAGGTTTGATGAGTTTTGATCACAAATACTTTAGATGAATTTTTGCACGTTGTTTGGAGCAAAAATATTGTTTTGGGATGGAGGAAGCAATAACTTTAATTAAATTTTGATTATTAGATTTTGGATTTTGATAGTTTTAATTTAATAAGGAGTAATCAAAGTTCAATGTTAATTTTAATTTAAAGTATTGTTGAAGATGTTACAGCAAAACGTTGTCGTTAGATAATCTTTTCAAAATGGTAACCCTAGCCTCTAATGATGTTGTCAAACACGTCTATAGAGTAGAAAAGACCATCATATGCAGTTGGCAAAGGCAAGAAGTGTCAAAGAGTAGACCCGAAATTGATTTCTGACAACTGCGCTGGGAAGCACATATGCTAAGCATAAGGTCTCTACAAGTATCAGATGCAAGTTACACTCTATGCCACTAATTTGTGATTAAAGCTAAATTTATCTTTTTTAATGACCATCTGACTAAATCTAATGGAGCCTTCGGAGGTGTGACTCATCCATTTTAGGAAAAAAACGATATAAGTAACGAGTTGAGTGGATGAGCATTCATGAATAATGAAATCCATCAATTATGTACTCCCTAACTAATTGTTTTGTACCAAACATGACATAAAAATTACAAAGAAATTACTCGTCAATTTTATTTTAGGTTCACAAAAAAAAGTGCTAAAGACTCTTAACTATTTATTACGAAGTAATTGATTTTTAATTTTTTGAGTCAATAAAATAGGAAAATGTGAAATATTGTTGTTCAAATTTATATACCACAATCAATTCTCCTTAAAAATACAAACTTTATTGTGAAAATCAAAAAAAGTTGTATGAAATTTTAATGGACCATGCTAGGGTGCCACCAAATGAGTGCTACCATGAGTGCACTCATGCTTCGCACAGACACAGACAATTATCGTCTGTGTTTGTCTGTGTGAAGCATGGGTGCACCCATGGTAGCACCCATGTGGTGGCACCATAGCATTTTCCAATTTTAATATGGAACGGTAAAACTGTAAAAGTATATACACGGAGTAAAAAAAGTATGGGAAAGGGGTGGTTTGAAAAACAAAAAGTGAATAGAATACTCCGTATGGCTGTAATTAATTACTTTCTCTGTCCAGAAATATTCTTCTCATTTGACTTTTTACGATCTCCAAGATTATACTTTGATCACTAATATCTTTATTTATATATGAATATATTTTATAAAAATTTGATTTTTGAAAACTATATTTCCAAATAAATATATTCATATTAAAGTTATATCGTAATACAATGTATTTCGTAAAAAAACTCACTTCTCGTTAATATCTTGAGAAGTGTTAGAGTCACAAATATTTTAATCACAAAATACACAAACTTACTATTTATCTACTTAAATGTCTAACTTTTAATTATTTAACATCATTTAATTCCCCACTTGATGAGGTGCACAAATGATAACTTTTAATTATTTAACATCATCTCATCCCTTTCTTCTTTTTTTTTGGTAGACACCCCTTGTGCGGCTTGGCTCTGGAGTCTAGCACTCTAGCCTCCTCCATTTTCGACATTTCATTGCCGTCCCAAGGTATTTCTCTCTCTACTCTCCCTTCTCGCCGCTTTGTTTTCCAATCATAATACGTACGGAGTATTACCTAAATTTTCTCAGACAAAAATTAAGTCTTAGTTTTCATTACACGATTAGTCAGTTGATGTTTCCTGCCATTGATGAATATTTACATGTTAGAAATTCTAAATCTGAAACTATACTCTTCAGATCTTAATTTCACATTTTGGATAAGTATTTGCTTTCTTACATTCTCAGTCTTGAGATCATAATGTTATTGATTATGTTATATATGCTCTCCAAATTTGATTGTCCACTTACTAATTTTAGACTTTTAGTTATCAAATGATTGTGAATTTTCACAAAAAGAAAAAAATTGATTGAGAATTTTCAAAAAATGCATCCTAAATTTAAGTTTTTGTTGGTATTTTAACCTCATTTCCTTAAAGTTTAAGTATTTTAGAAAGGAGTAACAAAATCTTTAGGGCTTGTTAGGTTGTGGAGTTTGATGTAAAGTTGAAGGGGGTTGCATCTCGACCCAAAATTTTAGGTTGTACCTTGTAAGTAACCGTACATACTCCGAAATCATCAATATATAGCCCTATTTAAGAGTGGTGTTTCAGAAAAAATGGAGTGACTCTAGAAAAAATCTGTAAAATTTAATATAAGTTATATTAATTGTTGTGTGTGAGTAAGTGAGTTTGTAATAATTTTTTTTGGTTTTAGGATGTGTTTATCTGTTTTTGAAATATTAGTAACATATATCAGAGGACAATTACGACGCTAGGCTTCTCTCCATCCTCTCTGACCTTCTTCCTGTTCCGGACCTTCGTCTTCGCAGAACCGCAGGTAATTTTTAACGCCCTCATGATCTTTCTACGCTCCATTTTCATTCTTCTCGGTAAAAAAAATAATAGTCTTTGTTTAGATTATCCATATATGAAGCTCAATTTTTATCTTCAATGAATCCTCAGTATGTCAGATCTATGGCCATGGGTTCAGAATCTGAAACACCACTCTGATTTTTTTTTCTATCTAGATAATTTTATCCTTGTTTAACATATTTTTAAAGATTTTTTTAAATGCATTAGGAGTATGATTTATTATATTACATTGAATTATCTGTATTTTAATATAACTTATATTAAATTTTACATATTTTTTCTAGAGTCACTCCATTTTTTCTGAAACACCACTCTGATTTAATGTATTTCATGATTTTTTTGTCGATGTTTTAGTCTCATTCATTTGTTTGGCTTAACCATTTTTACTTCAGTGCAGTGAAATAAATAAGTACTAGTATGTAATTCATAAAGCTATTTGTATATCACATTAAGAGTATCCTGAATTTGTATTGGATGTTTTGAACTACTTTATCTTTAATTTTTCTTAAACCATCTATCTTGACTAAATAAAGCAGTTACTAGTTTGAACGGGGCGTCTCTTGGAAACACCCTCTCTACATCCGAGTAGGAGTAATTTTTTCAAGTAAACACCCTCTCCAGACCCTATTTATTGTGGCATTTACTTGTTTATTGTCGTTGTTGTTGTAAGGTAGTTACTAGTTCCCCTTTGATGCCATAATCATTTCATTGCATTTGTTTGGGGTTTTTTCTTTAACAGTTTTATTTTAAAACTTAAATATAGATGTCTCTCGTAATGTACCAAACTGGTGATGACACCTTGGATAGCTATTTTGTTGTTAAAATGGAGCATTTTAGAGCATAACATAGCTAGTTTGTTTTAATTAAATTACATGTGGTTGTGAATTTTAGGTTGTTTGTGTACTCCATCCTCAAATTTGTTTGTGTGAGCAAAATTTGTTTGTAATTTACCCTTTGTTCTATTGAGTTTTAAGGTCTTCTTATTTGCCTTTATGGATGAACGATTGATTAATAGACTGATTTTTTTCCCAGGTCACAAGTTAAAAAGAAAATGTATCTCAAGTCAAGTTTGTCATGGAACGTTGTGATCCCAGCCGAGCATCTGGATGCCAAAGGATTGATGCTCCAAAAGGCAATCATTGTTCGTCTATTGGATGATTTTGCTTCGAAGAAGGCCACAAAAGCCCTGGGCTACTTCCTGGTAGTGACAACAATGAACAAGATTGGAGAAGGCAAGATCAGAGAGAACAAAGGAGACGTGCTGTTCCCTGTTGAGTTCAACTGCCTCTCGTTCAAGATCTTCCGCGGAGAGATTCTAGAAGGTGTTGTGCACAAGATCCTCAAACACGGCGTTTTCCTGAGGTGTGGACCCATCGAGCACATCTACCTCTCCCACCAGAAGATGTCTGATTACCGTTACATCCCCGGGGAGAACCCCATCTTCATGAGCGACAAGATGTCGAAGATCGAGAAGGAAACAGTGGTCCGGTTCATTGTGATCGGGGAGAAGTACGTGGAGGCCGAGAAGGAGTTCCAGGCTGTCGTGAGTTTGGAGGGAGATTACCTCGGACCGGTTTCACCGGGCTCGGTTTGAATCTTGTTTATCATATGTATGTTTGTGATGATGTTAGGTATTGAAGTATCCACTTGTGTTGTGTAGGGTAAGCTGTATCTGACCTTTGTAAAAAAAAGTTATGCATATTACCTTGTAGGGTTCAAGACTCACCTTTGGTTCTATTTGTGGACACTTTGTGGAGCTTAAGTTTTGAGGAAAGTTAATTTCAGGTGTTTTACTTGGGCATTTGTATATTTAGATTTGCTTGGTTGTTTGTTTCCTACATTTAGGGCTCGTTTGGCAATTGGCATCACACCTTTGCTAATGGGCGTATGTGAGATTGACTTTTTTTTCAGGAGGTGTGCAATGGTACACAAAATTTGTAATCCGGCTTGCACACTAAGCACTAAGTGTATCACAGACATGCAAACAACAATTGTATGTGAGATTTACAGACAAGTCTTGTGTGTTTGGATACACTTGGCGTGCAAGTTGGGATACAAATTTGACATACCTCTCCCTAGAAGGTAGAGGTTAATAAAATCAAATAAATAGATGGAAACTAAGGGTGCATTTGGTACATGAAACTTATAGAATTAGAATTGAATTGGAAGCTGAAATTCAATGGAATTGAGTTCTCCAATTCGAACTCATTTTTGGCATTACCAATTTTAAATTCACATATTCTTGTGTTACCAAACAACAAAATTAGAATTATTGTCCTCAATTTGAATTCTACAGATTAAATTTCACGTACTAAATGGAGCCTAAAAGGAAAAAAGATAAATTAAACAAACATCTAGCTACATGTAACAATTCTTCAAATGAAAACATGTACTCTCTTCGGTCCTAAAAACTTTTCCTGTTTTGACTTATTTTGGCCGAGAAGTGACACTCTTTGACTCCAAATTGTGAGAAAAGTATATTTAGTTATAAAATAAATTCAATATAGTTGGATTCATTTTAGGATATAGTTTTACTATATCAAATTTTTATATCATTTATTTATTTAGATTATATTTCATTTATAATCAAAGAGTGTCATTGTTTAACTAAAAAGAGTCAAAATAGAAAACGTTTTTAGGACGAGATGGAGTAACTAATTTCATAGTCCCGCCTTGCATGTAACACTAGTCAACCGTGTAGCACGACAACCTATAATTTAAAAGTTACTAATACGGAGTATTATTTCTTACTTTACTGTAAAAAAAAATTGACTTTCAATAGATCAAAACTCAAAAGTTTGTAATTGAATATTTTCGCAAAGAGGTTTTCAACTGTCCCCCACTATTCTTTGAGTGTAAAATTCGTCTTTAACTTTGTATGATATTTTCTAACATTAGTTGCGGTTTCGATGATATTGAGATCAACGTCATAGAATGATTTCGGGATTTCTACAGTATTTGATTCAATTTGAAAAATTTAAAATTCTATCCCCAAACATTCCCCCTAAACCCTCCAGCTTCCCAATACCTCTACCCCTCTCTCCCTTCTCCTATAGTCGACTTGTTACAATGATCACTGTAGCAAATCAGCGATATGAACGGTGGGAGATTGGTCCGACTAAAAAGTGAGAATCCAATCTAATGAAGTGATGTAGGCCCCCATTGTTAAGGGCTAGATGCGATTAATTTCCCTCATCAGTTTTCTCGACCCATGTGAGCTAGAAAAATAGTACTTCCTCCGCCCCATAAAAAAGTTCCCATTTTGAATAGTATTTAGTCAAATATTTATACGCTTTGACTACAAATTGTGAGAAAGGTATATTGAATTATGAAATAAATTTTATATAATTGGATTCATCTTAGGATCTAGTTTTGATATCTCAAATTTTTTTAGCATTTATTTATTTAGATTATATTAAATTTAAGGTAAAAGTATGCAACAGTTTGACCAATTTATGGTCAAAATGAGAACTTTTTTGTGGGACGGAGGGAGTACATCATTTACCTCATCTCAAGCATTTTGTACAGGTGAGACCCAGTATGCGTTGCGCAATTGGCAATGCAAGGAGAGCAAAGGAGGGTAAGATCCGAGTTTAATTTCTAGCAAACTGCGCAGAGAGGCAACTATGCTAAACATAAGAGCTCTGTAAGTATCAGGTGCAGACTCCACTCTTTGCCACTAATCTGTGATTAAAGTCCAATTTATCTCCTTTTAGTGGTCATCCGACCAGGTCTGAGGGGCCCTTGCGAATGCGGTTCATCCTTTTTTCAAATATTTTGTACATGTGCATGAGGGGCCAGAGGGGATGGGGTGTCAATAAAAAACAAAACTTACATACTCGTTCTGTCCCAAAAAAAAACTTCTTATTTCCTTTTTGGGACGTCTAAAAAAACATCATCTTTTCTTTTATGGAAAAGTTTGAGTGGCTCACAAATTTTCTCTCTCTTGTACATTACTCTCAAATACATATTTTCACTTTCTTTAAAGAGTGTCAAGTCAAATTGTGAACCTTATTTTCGGGACGGTATTTAAAAAGTACATCAAAATTAGGCACATTTATGTCACACCCCTCCGCAAAAAAAATGTTGTCATATAATGGCGTACCTTCTTTAAAGCAAAATGATGAGAATGCCTGAACTTTTAGACTGAAAAATACTCCATCCATCTCTACAAAAGAAAAATTTTAAAATAAATTTGATATTTAATTGGAATGATATTTTTATAGTATAAATTTATATTGAAAACTACAAAACTAAATGTTATTATTAAATATTGCCTTCGTCTCAATTTTGATTACAAATTGAGAATTCCGAGATAAAATTTTATGACTTTTGAAATCATTTTATTTATAAATTGGTATATCAATAAAAATAAAAATTACATATTAAAAAACGACGTCAAAATTTCTACAAAAAAAGACGTGAAAAAAATATTTTATTTATCAAATAATTAATGAAAACACACAAATAAACAAAAATTATCGAGAGGAGAAAAAAATTGTAATCAAAATTAGGACGGATGAAGTTTTCTTTCGAAATGTTAGAACTAAACGTTGAAATTATTGTCAAAGAGGATCTTTACCTTTTTCTTATCCAAGAATTTCAAAGTAGATTTATATTTTTTTCAAATATTTTTATTTATAAATTTTTTATAACTAGGTAAAATTCTTCTTAAACATAATCTACATTAATGTGAAAGTGGTCTTGGACGGCCGCTTTGAAAATTAATGTACATTAATTTTCAAGACCGCCGTCCAAATTCATATTCACATTAAGGTGCTCCCACCATCATTTTTATTTTAAATTTTTTGACAATCCGCCTCTTGAGAGTTTAAAGTCAAGAAAAAGCATAATATTTTCAAAGTTGTCGACTCCACCCAAAATATAATATAATCTCACTCTTATATACTTTTCCATATTTAATTTCAAAGGGAGATGTAGAAAATCAAAATCACCCAACAAGACCAAACATTTGTCTACATATTAAAATTCCACAAGAAAGTCTAGATTATGAAAATAAATTATCATTATTCTCCCATTGTCCATCTGTGCTTTGTTATTTTTTTTTCATTTTTTAGAAAAACAGATACAATATAGACCATTAGTTTTTTTTATCTTCAAAGATACTCTTTCACATCTTGTTATCCAATTCTCTTGTTTAGGGCATCCCTGTTGAATGGCACTTAACGATTATTGTACTAATTGATATGCAGTAGTTTGTGTATATTCCCTCAGTTTGATTTTTTCCAGTCAAACTAAATGAATTAATTATCAATTACTCTAAATTAAATTTATTTTACATATTAATATAATAAAATTAAATTTTGAAAATTCTCAAAAAAATAAACCTAAAGATTTTTTTTGTACGAAATTACGAGGACATTACAATTTTTATTTAAATCAAGTCCAAAAGTTATCCAAATTGACTCAAAAAGTAAAACAGAATGAATGCACTAGGAGATTCTAGGACGATGGTAGTAAGGTTTTCTCTTCCGTCCGGATTTAATCTTCACATTTAATTTTTTCTGATCAAAATTTATAAACTTTGACTTCAATAAGCAAAAGAAGAACAACATTGTATGTTGATTTAAATGTAATATCAATAATTTCTTTATAAAACGTAGTTTAGAAATATTAAAATTTTATAATATATACTCTCTCTGTCCCACTGTCTTTGTCCACTTACCTTTTGGCACACCATCTGATGGGAAATAATACGTGGCTCGGCCCACATTTCCCAATTATTTTACGAAGAACAGTCAAACCGGGCTTGTTTAATAAAATGGAGGAATAATAGAATATTCCCCCCGTAGATGCTCCAGCTACCCCTATAAAAGAAGGGCTCCCCCTCAATGCTAAGGGAGCCAATTTCACTTTCATTCCCTGCTCATCTACTCTCTCTCTAGAAAGCTTTAGTGTATATTTTCTTCTTCTTCAAGAGCTCAAATGCTCCATTAATGGCTTCTACACCTAAATCATGTACCGTGTACACACCCCCGATATTAATAAAAATCCCCCGTTAGCAAGGTACCGCCAAAAAAGGCCCGTGGTTTTCTCCCGATTTGGGTTTCCACGTAAAAATTCTCGTGTTTATATTTTGGTGTATTTTTTAGACTAGTTTATCGTTTTAGCCGGGCTAAAACGATATACCGGTCGATAATTTACACCATCACCATCCAATGCACTTCTTTAATTCATTTTATCTTGTAATTTGTATATTAAAAAATTATAGAAATTGTATATTTATAATCTATATATTAAGACAAATCAAACAAGATCACACATGACTATATTTAGGCTTACACATTGAGAGAATTTGATGAGTCAAAGTGCCTAAATGAACAGTTCTCAAAGTCAAAAGTGGACAAAGACAGTGGGACGGAGGTAGTATGTATGTATAAATATCAATATTAATAGTCAAAGTATTATCTTCAAAATCATGAAAAGTCAAATAATAAGATTAAATCTAGACAGATGAAGTATTTTAAAAATGGTGTTAGCATTGTTGTTACCAATAATAAAAAAGATTTTTAAAATTACGGAGTATTTGTTAACTTTTTCTATACATTCTTTAAATTTGAAGTATTTTGGAAAATACAACAAACTCTCAAAATAACTTAAGCTCTTTTGGAGTCCAGACTGAAAATTATGTGTGTATGTAACATTACCCCTTTGATTATCTCTTAAATAACTCTTTCAAAATACTTTGTCATTCATTGACTAATATTTTATTGTTTGTTTTTCTTGTTACATGAAAAAAAATGATGAATCTCATCACTTCAGACTTTTCAAGACTCGATCAAACGATCATTGAAGGCAAATAAATTAAAAACTGAATGATTAAATCAGGACTCATGGACAAAATTGTTAACAAAGGATTTATTTATTTATTTTGGTGTTTTTGGCCTAAATAAAAACAGCTATTTTCATGGTACAAAAAAGATTAAATTACAAAGGGATCCGATCGAGTAGAGAACGTTAAAACTGTGGCAATTCTGACACGTCACCGGCTCGAATAAAAACGTCGTACCAAAAGTCCAAATCATCCTCCGCCGTTGACCGGCAAACCGCATCCACGATTTCCGTACAGTTTTCCAAGTTGTCGTCCAAGGAATCGAAGTGGCCCCCCCACTCATCCGCCATGCCCGTCCACGGGAAATCCTCCGGCACGTTTTCCGTCCAAAAACTGTCGTCGATAATTGCCTCCTCCGTCAGACCAGACATCTCGCTCGCCGATGATCCCGGAGGAGACGGAGGCGGCGGCGCAGCCGCCGAGACAGTGACGTCATCGTCCTGAGTTTTGGTCGTCGTCGGGCTTCTGGTTGGATCTTCTTCGGGTTTGGGCTTTTTGGTCCGGTGACGGGCGGGAACCTCATGGTTGGGGTTATTATTATGGTCTTTGAGCCTCTTTTTCAAGTGGGTGTGCCAAACGTTTTTTATTTCGTTGTCAGTCCGTCCCGGTAATTTTGCTGCAATTGCCGACCATCTGCAAAAATTAAAATAAGAGTAAAATATTATTTACCGACAAAAATAAAATCTTTAAAAAAAATTCTCAAGTTTTACCCGGACCTCTTGGTCAACAAGATTTTAATATTACATCAATAAATCAATTTAACTAAAAACTCAACCTTGAAGTTGTATGTCCAGAAAAAAGTTACTCCGTGTATTTATGTTCTAACAACAAGAAAGAGTAATACCGACTTTGGCGCTCGACAACGATGAAGACAGATCATGGGTAGCATGAGATTCTTGCACGCTTTATATTTATAAAATAAAACAGACATGTTACTACTTGTTTTGTATAAGTTTTGATATATAAGATATTTCTTAAATATGTAAGTTGAAATTATTATTTTCAGGGCTGGCCCTGAAAAATGAAAAAATAAAATTGGCCCGGTCCAAAATTTATATTATGGGTCATATTTTATTTTTTTTATAATATGTATGCTTTAAAATTAATGTCGAATTTAAAAGTATGAGGCTCTAAAATTTTAAAGACCTTGTGCGGTTGGCCACTTTGCACATCCTCCGGAACACCCATACTCATTTCTATACTAATTTACAAATAAAATCAATTTAAAAGAAATGAAACTTTTAATATAAAAGTGTTATTTCAAGAAAAAAAATGAAAACAATGGGACAAAGTCCAATATATAATGGAGTAATATCAAAGTCTATGGTTTTGGAGACGTATGATGACAAAGACTAATCAGCCCCGCCCCACCACACTCCAATTCGTCTCTTTCACAAAAGAAAATTAGAGTCATCATTGGGTACACGAATTTCTCTCTCTCTCTCTCAAATTCACAATAATTGGGTCGTTTAAATAGTACTCCGATCCATTGGATAAGAAGTTTGATTTTACTCAAAAAAATCAAATCATTCAAAAACCCCATGAAAGAGTAATGTTTAATTTATTTGTCTTTTTATTTAACTTAACATAAAATACCTTCAAATGTATTTACCAAGTTTGACATTTTCGAATCAAATTACATAAATTTAAATTTAGATTATTTTTGGATAGCATTTTTGAAGTGTATATCATAGTTTCCCAAAAATTGTGTTACGACACTATGTCAAGTCTCTCTATTTCATAATAAATGTTTATTAACACTTTCTAAATACATTTAAAAACAAATGAATATAGACGTACTTTACGTCTACATGCATTTAGTTTTCATGAATGAAGTATAAAGTGAAAAAAAATTACAACGTGGTAATTATTACCTATTGCCGAGGATTTGATGCAAATGGATAATGTTGTCTTCTTCTTCCTTGGTGAAATTTCCCCTTTTGATGTCGGGTCGAAGGTAATTCGTCCACCGTAGCCTGCAGCTCTTCCCGCACCTCAACAGTCCTGAACAAAAATAAAATAAAATCTTAATTGGATATTTTTTTTTGTTTGGAGGGGAAAAATATAAGCGATCGGTTCGGGTTCGGGTTCGGGTTCGGGCGTTACCGGCGAGTTTGGGGAGGGCCCTCCAGTTGGAATGGCCGTGGGAGTGGATGTAGGAGACGAGAATGCGGTCTTCGTCGGGAGTCCATGGGCCTCTCTTCAGGCCCGTTTTCTCGCAGCAAGGAGCCCGGCCCATCTTCTTCTCCTTCTCCTTCACTTCACACTTCAGATAGACCACTCTTTTCTCTCTCTACTGTGCGTTTCTCTGCACTGAAATGAAGAGAGAGAATTATTAGTGTGTGTGTGTGTCTTATTACTCCCTCACACGGATGGATTGATGCATATCATATAAAGTCCAACACGGCCGGCCGGGCGCCACCACAAGTCCACCTTTTCTACTACTTTCGCGGAATTTTCTTTATATCTTTTCTTCTTCTTTTTCAAACTATTCATTTAATTTCTTATTCAAATTTTGTTACGAAATTGATAGAATATTGAAATATTTACTATAAAAAGTATGTATGTATGTATGTATATATATATATATATATATATATATATATATATATATATATATATATTAAATTGCTTGTTTACTATTTACAAGAACAAACCTCGCTCACTTCTTTTATCAATTTTGCATTAGTCATTTGATAAAATAATATATATAGTTATGTCACCGCTAGTTTTGTGGATCTTTTAATGTAATTTTTAATTATGTCATTTTTATTTTTGAATTCTACATTGTTTTTCATATAAAATAGTTTGAAAATAACGTCAGTCGAATAACATAAACAGAAAAAGACAAATAACTTGGGACGAAGGGAATAAAATTATATCAAAATAAGACTATGTTCTTATTCTCAAAATATATAGATGCGTTGGCCCTATAAAATATCATAATTGACATTATACTGGCATTTCAGAGTAGTATTATGTGTTGACATTTTTTTATGCTAAAAATTTTATTTTCCTACAAAAATAGTTAATATTATCTTATTTTGATTAACACCTCGTCCCAGAATTATTGTCACAATTACTATTCTTACATCTCGATTTTTGTTTGCATATTTTTTATAAATTATTTGATATATAATCTAATAGGCATTTTTAAAATTTAAAAAATATATATGTGAGAAGGTCCATGTGGATTTCAGGTCCAACATAAAATCACTCCTAAAAAATGATACAGAGTAACATTTTGTACGTCGTTAGTCATGATTAGATTTTTCATTGTGTAGTTAGTTAAGATTTTTTTTTGTGAGCAAAAGAGATATGAGTTTTGATATTTATAGACATCTGAAATTTGTTTTGATATCTCCAAATATAATAAACCCTCTAAAGGATTTGATATCTCTCAATTTAAGATATCATTATGAGTGTTTAATATTCTACTCAACGATTGACAAATTTTCACCACCGTACCAGTTGTGTTGTCATCGCAAATCACTTCCATTACCGGCTATCATGTTTATCACTAATTAAATTATGATTTCAAATTTCATTAAATTTTTTTATTTAAATCTTAGAACTTATTTTATTTTTTTTCAAATATCAAAACTCATATCTCCGTAATAATTTCAAAATTTAGCAAACGGGCCTTATGAAACATTGTGTCGTTGTGTCCCCGCGCTACTTAATTGGTAATTGTGGAATTTACGCAAGTCAAAAGGTGTCTAGAATTACCATTTGCGGTAACTTTTATTGCTCCCTATGGAGTTAGTCGTATCAAGCCTTTGATCGACTCCAAAGTCTCCCACGCGTAACTAGAAAAAACTCTTTCAATTTAAATTGTCTGATCTATTTTAGTTTATGGTGTTTGTCTGAAATTTTTTTCAAATCATTTTATATAAAATTGTACAGAATTTAAAAATAAAAATTGCGTACAGAATTTAAAAATAAAAGTTGTACAGGATTTAAAAAAAAGAATGAAGTTTGACCCCGTGAATAGTCAACAGACATGTTAATTTGGGACCGAGGAAATAATATTTTTGAAATCAATTTACATCATTAAAAAGATGTTCAAGACGCTTACACGGATTAAAAACTTTATTTTCAAATGAAACCACAATTGGAAAGCACATACTATTATGTATCAGTAAAATTCTATTTATAATTCAATTTACATTTTTAGATAATTATATGATCATATTCGTGGAGATAATATATATATATATATATATATATATATATCTAACANTTTATATATATATATATATATATATATATATATATATATATATATATATATATATATATATATATATATATATATATATATATATATATATATATATATATATATATATATATATATATATATATATATATATATATATATATATATATATCTAACAATCGGATGTATGAATAATATGTCACTTGTAAATGTATATATATATATCTAACAATATGTAACTTTTAATTTTAATTGTACGTCTATCTTTGTTTTATTTGAAATGAATAATATGTCACTTGTAAATGTATTTTTTTTGTATAAACAAAATGAACATTATATACTCACTCTGTCCGGGAAAGATCTTTTCAAGTACTTTTTTTGGTGTGAGAATTTTTTTGTGAAATTTGCATTAAATAGAAATAAAACATAAGTCATTTCCCAGTGTATGACTTAAACTTTTTTATTCTCTAAATATGACTTAATAATGCCTAGTGAAAGCAATAATGTCCAATAAGGAGCATACATACATACATATTTTGAATAAATAATTATTAAAATAAATAACTATGCGAAATAATTACCCCTTACTTTTTCATACTCTGTCTATCACATCATACTTTTTTACTAATAATCTACCTATCACATCTTACTTTTACACATCAAATCAAGGATATTTTTGGAAAGTCAACACAAAAATATCCATCAATTAAATCCTCAAAAAGTCAAAAAGGGAAATTTATTTAGGGACGGAGGGAGTACAAAAATACTTGTAATGCCAATATACAATGCAATATTGTCACATTGCGCAATAATCTTATTTTGAAAATAAAACATATCACTTTTATTTTGGAAATAATGGTTGTGTTTTCCTTATATTTTGTTGGAACACACTTTACGATTACGTTGTACTAAAGCAATGTTCGTTTTTTATAATTTTGATAAATGCCAAACCGCTGAAGATATGAAAATGACTCATTGAACAACTCAAAGCGAAGAACAAACATTGGCAAAAGATCAAATGGAACCAAGAACAAAGACTAGATACGAAGACTTAGACTTAGAAATTGAGTTGGTCTTACTGTGATTAAGACTGGCATTAGGTTCAAGTCATGACTCTTAAGAACTAAAACATTATATAGAAATCATCCTAAATAGAACTAAAACATAGAGAAAAATACCAAAATAGGACTTTCATGTTTTTTTCCTGGAATATGACTTTGCAATGTGGTAATGTGACTTTGCATTGTGGTAATGTGGCAGTGTACATGTGCAAATTACTATACTTTTTTGATAATGTATATGACCATGTTTGGTAATGTAAGTCCTATTTCGGAAATAAAAACATGGAAGTCCTATTTTGGTATATTTTCAATGTTTTAGTCCTACTTTGGTCTTTCTCTCAACATTATATTCAAATCATTTTCTTGCATCAGTAAAACACATTCTATAAACGCGCGTTTTCATATTCCAAATGTACTTGGTTGTCACTGCACCAAAACCAAAAATGCAACGTTTGGCGTTTAACGTCCATCGTTCGGCGTTCGGTTTTTTGCAATGGGTGTGGCCATTCCTTTTCATCAAATGGCTTTTAATTTTTTATCACTGGTTTTAGCTTTTGGGCACGTTAAAAGGATTTTCAAATGTTTAGCTCTCAAAAACCACAACCTTCGTTTTTCGGCATTGGTTATCGGCATACGGCGTTGGTTATCGTCGTTGTTTTTGGCAACCAAATCAACCAAGTGGTTTTTAACATTTTATGTTTTTACTTCTAGACATATTTAAATGGTTTTCTAACAAAAACATTCTAAAAACCACCTTTTATTTTTGGACTTTGATCACAAAGCATGAATTTTTATTTCTCCACCCACATTTCTAAAAACCACATTTTATGATAGTCACACTCCACCCAGATACTCCCTCCGTCCTAAAATTAACTTCCTATTTGACTTTTCACGTTCTCCAATGCAACACTTTGACCATCAATATCTCAATTTTTATATAATATATTTTATAAAAATTACATATTTCAAAATTATGTTTCAAAATGAATTTATTGCTAATAAATTTATATGAAAATTCAATGTATTTTTTTACGTAATAAACGGTCAAAGTTTAAAAATTTGACTACAAAAGTCAAACTGGGAAGTTAATTTTAGGACGGAGGGAGTACTAACTTCACTCCACACACTAAATTCACTCCATTAGTTTCAAAAATATTTTTAATACTTATTCAAAAAAATTATTTTTAATACATGAACTCATATAGAACATTTTGCAATTTTAATATTTTGATAGAAATTCTACTTTGAATCATAATACAATAATAGTTTAATATAATACTTTTTAATTATACTAAATATGGATCGGAGTATGTTTTAATTATTAAATATGATATCTTTTTAAAATAAAAGTTGTATTTTTAATAATAATTCACATTTATTAACATTTATATTGACTTTTGGTGTTGAAAATAAATAAAAGAGAATAATGGTGAATAATTTTAAAGATTATACTCCGTATAAAATGTTTTTAAGAAATATTTATATGACCACCTTTTTAAAATAACAAAATAACTGTGTAGGTTAAAAATGGTGAAATGCATATTTGTATAATACTTAGAAAATAGAAGATTTTGTACAAAAACGATGGTAATTCAATGTATATTAACAATAAATGTTATTTTAATTAATAAAAGATTAAAAGAAGAGACGCCAAAGTTTTTTTTAAACTAAAGTTCATATATTATTTTATTTAAAAAGTTATAAAATGAAATGAATGATGAACAGTTTTAAACATTTATTTATAATGTTTTTTAACACAAAAAACTTATATAACTTTTTTGAATAATAACATAATCGGTAAGTTCAAAATGACACCAGTGCTACTGGTGTCATTTGCTTACACTAGTTTATTTGGGGTACCTACGATGCTACGTTTGTAAAAACGATGGTTCCTACCCCCTAACCCTCTCTCTAAACTCCCCCTTACCCTGGTAGTACACTGAGTGGGGAGGGGGTAAGAGTGGGGGGTTTAGGAGGAAGGTTAGTGAGGGTAGGAACGGTAAGTAATTGGTGTGATTTTAAAAGGGTGAATTAATTGAATTGAAGGGTGAATTAGTCTTTAGGGGTGTGGCTATCCGTTGATACAATTACTACTGGGGTGTGATACTCATGATGTAGAAAATGGTGCGCGCACGTGGCTTTTGGAGG